CAGGGAGCTCTAGGGAGCCCTTCCAGAGGAGATTTTGCCTACTCTTCCATGCTGGTCATGCATTTTCGAAGAGTTGAGAGTATCCTACTCACAAACAGAATAAACCTGTCATCTTCATCATCCACCATCTATCCACCGCTTCACGAAGGTCCACTGTGTCGTTGCGATTCCTTTGCGATATTATGCACCACGATGTTCACAAAGTAATTGACTCTTGAATTGAATCGCGAACTCTGGGGCTTATTCGGTGGCTTTAACGTGACCGTCCTAATAGGATTGTTCGCCAGAGTGCAGTTCAGCTGGCCCCACAGAAACTCTGAATTTGTTTTATGCTAATCACTGCACCCATATAAAAGTAGTTGACAGGAGCCCAGGGTTGTTGTCTGTAACTTGGGAGAGTATACAACTTATTCGAGCATAAACACAATTAATCAAATCATTTGTGTCCTCTTGAATGAATCGTTGTTTCTACCAGTTGCATATTCATAATATAAGTTTATAATTTTTAGCTCCTTTGTGAATTAACTGCTGGATGAGCGATGTTTGATCATTACATCACCTGGCCGGCAAGTGCCGGCCGGGTGGAGGGGGAATTCGATGGCAGGGCCCTGACAGCACCGATACAGGTTTCACTCCACACCTGATGCTAGCCGTGGGCCAGGAATCGAACTCGGGTCGCCAGGTTCACAGCTTCTAATAATCCGGTGGGCTTTACCTGCTAAAATAAAAGTTTCGTTTCGAGGTATTGTGATTGATAAGAAGTTTTTTTTTGGGGTTAGATCGCTTAAAAATAAATGTGTCGTTAAACACGCCACCACCCGGCACCGCCAATTAGTAAGGTTTGTCGCGTAAACAAAACGTGCCAATTCGTTACGACTACAGCACCACCCGGTGTGTTGGGGAGTAAACGCACAAGATTTACAATCTGGTGGTGTAGACGGCTTGTGCCTCAGGGAGTTGTGCCACCGCTCCATCTGCCCAGCTCCTGTTTTCGTTTTGAATCGTTTCACCTCTTTAATCTGAACGTGATGTGCGTGCTGTCGTGATGCCTGTGACAGCACCTTGGAGATTTCCACGGTGTTTTTATTTAAAGAAGCTGTATACATTTCAGTTACGATTATTAATCTCATCTCGCTCAATCTCTGCGGCCAACGGGGTTGTCCCCTTCACAATTAGTGGACGGCCTTGATCGCGTGCAAGCGAGATGTTTACTCCCTCACCTGGTATGCAGGAGGTCGTGTGTTCGATCCCGACCTTGATGCCTGCTCTATATTTGGAGTTTGTATGTTTTCCCCCGTGGATTTTTCTCCGGGACCTCCCGGTATTTCCCTCCGCATTTAGAATAAACGCCACGCGTTTAGAGTATTTGGCTGCTCGAAATTTCCACGTGATAAGCCACTCTTCGTTGTGCTATTATTCATGATAGCCAGCTCGCCGCTTCTGAAAAAGAGCTACATAGCTCAGCGGGCATTACCCAGTAAAATAAACAATAGTTTAAAGTTCTTATAGGCACGCGTCCTTTGTGCGTTGTCAGCAGCGTGCATTTGGAATCAATGACGAGCTAGCGAGTGGGGGTCGACAAAGAGGGGTGATGCATGTAAAACCAGTACAGTCATCACTCGCCACTTGGTGCAGTGCCCCATTAAGCTCGTGCGGGGCCTGGAGCATTACTAACACGAGCTTTCCTGCCCGTCCAAGGACGGGTGGAGATTGCAGTAAATCTGAAATATTCATTAGAAAAATTGTTCAGCTCATGATTATTAATGAGGGGGGGGGGGGTGTTGCCCCATGTGGAGTGACGTCACCCGCTAATGGTTATTGGGAGGGGTGCGGCATGTGGAGTTACGTCACCCCCTCATGGTTATTGTGGAGGGGTGCGGCATGTGGAGTGATGTCACCCGCTCATGATTATTAATGAGGGGAGGGGTGCGGAATGTGGAGCGCGCGACCTTCTTGCGCGTAAGTGTAAATTTCCACGCGGACATGAATATTAATGAGGGGGGGGTGGGTCTCATGTGGAGTGACGTCACGCGCAGGACGGACAGACATCTGGGTGTGTAGGTAATAACCCAAGAATGTGTCCCCCGCGCGTGACGTCACTCCACATGTCGCACCCCTCATTAATAATCATGAGCGGGTGACGTCAATCCACATGGAGCGCCCCCTCAATTCATAATAATGAGCGGGTCATCATTGTCGATTGAATGTTTGAGATGAACTGCACTATCTACCCGTGCTTGGGCGGGCTATAGGCGAGTTTGTTATAAAGGGGCCCGAAATAAAAAATAAAACACAAATATGAAAACACAAATTTTTCACTTGCATAGTAAAGTAATTGGGTTGTTTCATTTGCCATACAGCCAGATAATATGACAAATCGCTAACCTTAAACACCCAGTCGTTCATCAAAGTTGAAGGCGGTATAGTACTATAGTGATAGAGCAAGTGCAGAATCACCTAACCGGAATTGATAGATTATTCTTGGTTCTTTCGGTAAAGTCACGTGGAAGGGAAACAATAAAATAATAAAAATATAAAACAATACAATTCTTACGACGTTTCGACTGCAACACAAGCAATCATCATCAGGTGTGAAAACCACGACGAGAAAATTTGAATCCCTGCAGTCACGAAAGCTTTAAATCGGAATTGATAGATTTAAATAATTTAGCGCGGGGCCCTTTAAAGTGCGGGGCCCGTAGCTACTACATAGTAGCTACATATGCATCTACTACAAATGCATCTATATATGTATCTACTACATATGCAGCTACTACATATGCATCTATATATGTATCTACTACATATGCAGCTACTACATATGCATCTATATATGTATCTACTACATATGTAGCTACTACATAGTAGCTACATATGCAGCTACTACATATGCATCTATATATGTATCTACTACATATGTATCTACTACATAGTAGTTACATATGCAGCTACTACATATGTATCTACTACATATGTAGCTACTATGTAGCTACTACATAGTAGCTACATATGCAGCTACTACATATGCAGCTACTACATATGCAGCTACTACATATGCAGCTACTACATATGCAGTAGATACTTGTGCTACTAGGATAATCCGGCACTGCCTTGGTGGGGTTGCCACGTTCATCTTGACAGCGACAATGTGAAAATAACCCCGGCGTCACCGCTCCACCCCAAGACGTAAAGCACAATTTACCTCTCTGTGTAAACACCTACATTCATTATTGGGTTTTTTTTGTAAACGCTTGTTAAGCAACTCTGCCCAACACAGTAAACTTTACGTGGCGGTTCCACCCTGTTAACGAGGGCGGTGTGGTTCACAAAGTGTCCCCGAGACGTGGCGACACGTGCCATCGACGACAAACCGGTGACTTTAAAAAGCGCGCATTTAAATCGCGTGTGTTGACGGTCATCGACAACGTCAGTCAGAACACGCCCTTGTTTTAAAAAAAAAATCCATGTCAGAGTCGGCCGTGTGGCTTGGCAAGTTCAGTGCAGAGCGAGTACTGTTGAGATCCTGAGTTTGAAAAGCTACCCGGGATTTAAACTTCAATATGAAAAAAATACAAACCCATTTCAAACTCAAATATTTAAAACCTGCAGTCACCCGAGTTCAAGCCCAGGTGGAACCATGGAAAACGGACACAAGTTTGCAACATTTACAAGGAACAGATCATCGCATGCACGAAGATGGTAAAACGGCAGAGGTTATTACCGTCGCCAAGGTAAAGAGGGCACTGAAAGAGATGAGAGGAAGAAACGGCACTCGGAATGTCCAACAGAGCAACGGAGATGCTTCAAGAAACCCCGGGTGAACAATAAGCAACATGGCTGCACAGAGTTGTAACAGCAGCAGGGAAAAAAAAACAGCACTGTAGTTCCTCTTGATGGGCAAGGGAAAAGCAGCAGGCCTTCATCCATGACTGATGATGGCGATTTTATCTGAGTGCAACCGTATCTTAAAACACGTGTTTTTTTTAAGCGAGAGACTACTTTCAGTCTTCATGCCTTCAACTTGACTGGTTACGGCCGGGCGTTGGTGTGAACTGTGTTGCGAGGTGGACGTACACAAGTTGACAATGCTATGGCTCCCTCCTCTGACAACGCAGAACACTACGCAGCAATTTCAAACCCGAGGAAAGACGCACACGTGTCTGACAAGCACAACTCCACTCTAAAGAACAGTATCCATTCCAGGATTTACCGAATACTCGAGCGTGCTGCAAAGGCCGATCCGGATCTACGTAGTGGTGGAATGGCGCGCAATGCAAATTTACATTTAAAATATATTCTAATTTCAAAGGTTCAAACAAGGATTTATTGGCTTTAAAGTAGAACAAATATGACTTACAGTTACATAAGAAAATATATTTATGCAAATTACATTTTCTCGAAATATGAACATTAACACAAGCTTTTAAATGTCAATATTGTGAAAATAAATGTTCTTGGACCAGCCAACCATGATTAAGTAAAAAAGATACTTAAACATTCAAGCCAAGAGTGCATTTTTCAAAACCGCATAGATTACAATTGGTAATTTATGTAAAACATGCAAATGTACAGTACCATATTTAAAACTATTCAAAGCAAATCATGATTAAAAAAGTTATACAAATCTTGCAGTTGCAATTTTGCGGTGCAGTGGTTTTGTGCACGGCGCTCAAAACCTGCTGACCAGAAATTTGGATTTCTGGCCGTGGCTAAAGTGAGCGGCGAGTGATATCCTAACAACTCGTCCCAGGCATTCCCCCTTCAAACAATCTCCTTCATCCATCCAGCAGGGGACGGCCTTCATCCAGCAGTGGATTGACAGCCAGTTAACGTTATTTTATAGTTACTTAAGTTATTTTCTTTTTAATAACATCCGAAGTGTGTTACATTTAAATCATATTCTTAGCTCTTTCGGTAAAGTCACTTTGAAGGGAAACAATAAAATAATAAAATATATATAAAACAATAAAATAATATATTTTATTATTTTATTGTTTCCCTTCAACGTGACTTTACCGAAAGAGCTAAGAATATGAATTTACTGCAGTCACGAAAGCTTTAAATCAAAATTTTACATTTAAATCGTCAAGCGCAGCTGTAGCAATTACAAAATAACTGAAATATGGTCATTTCCATTTTTTTTATTCCAAGACATTAATTAACTTGACATGACATTCGCCTTAAGTTTTTAAGACTGTTGTTACGTGCCTCCGATAAATTGTTATTTTCTTCTTGCATTTGGCAATCTGTTCAGGAGCTAAATGCCAATGTTGAGGTCTGCCAGCAGTGAGAGGGCTTCAGGAGAGAGTTTGTGTAGTTTTGCTGCTCCTCCTCCTCCGCTGGAGGAGCGCAGACTCCAGTGGGCTTACGACTTGGTCCACAGTTTGGGTTGCGTGGCCACAGCCGCACTGCTGTGGCTTGTCTTCAATCTTCCATTCATGAAGGAGTTGTGTGCATCAGCCTGTTGACGTTGTGATGCGGTTGATGGTTCCGCCAGTGTCTTCGAGGAGAAATGTCAAAGCCAGGAGGTGCGATGCTTGGGTCTCGCACGACGTTTTGAAGATACTTGCGCTATTTTTTTTAAATAAAGAAAAAAATAATTACAAACACTTAGAACAGCGATACTGGATTCAGGCTAAGCTTGCAATGAAAATACAATGGTTCATAAATCCGAACAAAAATGTACAATGCCGCCAAATTGTTAAATTCAAACGGCTAGGATCTTGCAAAGACAGCGGCACATCGGCCCCCAGCGAGTAATTTTCACTCAGAGGTACGTGCGCGTAGACCATGTACGCTGCTGTCACAGCCCAAATTTGCCAGATTTGGGAGAGAAAAAAAACCCTCACAAATTACCGCATTTGGTAAAGTCACTGAGCAACATCGCTCCGTCTCTTTGAAACGACACACGTCTGCGGAATAGACCGCGCTCATCTGCTTGGTTCTTTCGGTAAAGTCACGTAGACGGGAAATAATAAAGTGATATAAATAAAACGTAATAAATTTATTTTATCACGTTTTATTTTTGTTATTTTATTATTAATAAATTAATGCAAACAAAGCACAATAATAAATTCATTTATGCTTTCTTTTTATTATTTCCCTTCTGCGTGACTTTACCGAAAGAACCAAGGAGATGAATCCCTGCAGTCACGGAAGCTTTAAATCGAGACTGCGCTCAGTTTAGCGCTGCGCTCCAAGGAAGGCGCCGATGCCGAGCGCGCCAACGATCTGCTTTGGCTTGGGAGGCACAAGCGAGGGCACGGGTCCTCTCTTACTCGCAAACAAGCTGCGCCTTGTGCCGTGTCACTCTTGAAAAACCACACAAGCATACGCGTCACCGTGTGTAGTTCTGCGGCATGAAACAGGTACGCCGCAGTCGATCCGCAGGTGGCGAGAACTGTGGGTACTCCCGCCTCGACTGAGAAGTCTGGCCAGAGCGATAGATCAGCCCCAAATACCTTCTAGACGGCTCTTCAGAGCTGCCTCAAGTGGAGGCCTTTGAGCCAGCAGTGGCCTGAGCAAGACACTGCAGGGCTGCACATTCACCTTTCACTGGACGTGTGTTCTCACACGTGTATACACACACACGTGTGAGAACACACGTGTGTGTGTATACACGCCCAGGTATGCGCCACATGCTCAATGCACCTGCGGCGGTGGGGGGGGGTTAAGCTCTGCGTTCCAAATCGTGGCGCTCCACTGCACCGCCGCCCGGGCCGTCCGTCCACGTTTCGCCACAACCGGCGCACGCGGGCGACCCGCGGCAGGCCGCCAATCCGCCGTCCTGACAGCGAGCACAGCAGCCACGGCCGCTGCCACCGCCGCCACCGCCGCCGCCCGCCGGGAGACGAGCGTCCAGCTGCTCGTCAGGCGAGCGCTGTCCACTAAAGAACAACCCTTCTGGGGCAAATCCACGGGCGGCCCCCCTGCGGGGGGAGTCCGAGGGCGAGGGGAGGGGGGGCGTCCCGGCGCTGCCACCGCGGTCGCGACCGGCCGCTCCGGCCTCCAGGATCCCGCAGCCGCGCCTGAAGAGCGGCGACTCCTCCCCCCGTCGCGGCACCGCCGTGCCCCGCCGCCCGTCTCCGCTCGGCATCCTCTTGAGCGTGTAAGAGCCCGTGCGGAACCAGGAGCGGTTCACCAGCGGGCTGAGCAGCGACTCCACCGTGCCCTGCATCGAGCCACCCTGCCGGGGAGCCCTCCGCCGCTCGGGAGAGTTCAGGGTCCCCGCGGACCACGCGTGCCGTCTCTCCGCGGCGGCGGCCGCCGCCGAGAAGGTCCCTCCGGCGACGCTCGCTCCTGAGCGGGGGCGATCGGCGGCGAGGTCGTTGGAGTGCAGCGAATCGACGGAGCGGGAGGAGGAGCAGGAGGGGGGCGGGGTGCAGCGGTTCCGGTAAAAGATCGCCGACCGCGTGGGCTCGTGTGGCCCCGGGCTCAGGCTCTGCGACGACTTCAACAGCCGCCTCCGCATTTCGCTCGTCACGGGCCACGCGGCCGCCTTCTCCGTTCGGTAGAACGTCGACGCGGAGTCGAAGGACAGGTTGAGCCCGGGGCCGCTGGCGGACAGCGAGCGCTTCAGCGGCTCGGCGGCGGCGGCGGCGCCGCGACCCCGCGTCCGACCGCCGAGCGCCGGCTCGGCGAGCTTCGGCTGCGGACAGCGAGTCGGGAGACGTCGAGAGGGAGCGGAGGCTCTCCGCCGAGCTCTGCGAGGACGTCGACATTCCGCCCGTCGACAGGTTGGAGGACGAGCCCGGCCCGTAGGAGGGGAAGCTCAGCCTCAGCGACGCCGGCCTGGACAACGGCACGCGGCTCCTCGCCTCCTGGCTCGCGGGGGTGGGGCTGTCCGCTCTCGCCGGGGGACGTTTCCCGAAGCCGTTGGCGCGAAACACGTCGTCGTCGTCGTCGTCGTCGCCGTACTCCACGTTGCCGTTGCGGTCGTTGCCGACGACGCGCCGGCGCCCCCTCTTCTCGGGGCTGTCGCCGCCCTCAGGGTTTTCGAGGCTCCGGCCACAAACGCCGCCGTCGTCGCCATCGTCGCCGCCGTCGTTGCCGTCGTCGCCGCCGCCGACCGGGGAGGCGTCGAGCCGCGAGCCGCCGGCGTTCGGCCGCCGGTTGACGCCGAGGTGGCAGAGCATGTCGGGGAAGAGGGCCTGCGCCGTGCGACTGAAGCTGAGCGCCCGCAGGCACTCGGACAGCAGCTGGGAGTCGTCGTCGCCGCGGCCGTCGTCGTCGTGAAGGCCCGCGGGCGTTCCGTCGCACGACGAGCCGCGCCGGCGCATCGGCGAGGAGGCGTCTAGCGCGGCACCGGGGGACACGGAGAAGACGGCGTGCCGGTGGCGTCAGCGAGAGCGTGTCGGTGTCGGCGCGTCCGGCCCGCTTACAATTAATTCACGTCGTTGGGAACATCTGACGAGCGGCGGGCTTACTGAATGTCGCAAAGGTCCACCCCCGTATAGCGAGCAGCACCCATGAAGGCCGGCACGGCACACGTGGGGGTGGGTGGCCAGCACCACGCCCGGCCGCCTTTGTTTCCTCGGAGGTAATTTAAACTACAAACTGCACCAGGTACCCATTTGAGGCCGAGTCGACCTAGGGGAGGCCCAGGACCAGTTCAAGTAATCGTTACAGGTGTTGACCTTGAGTGGGAATCGAACTCGGTTCGCCGGGTTCGTAGTGTGGCACACTAACCGCTGTACTACCGCTCCCCACTGAATGACACACACACACACGTATACAATTAACACTCATTCAAATGCAATGTCTACAGCTTGCATTACAATACATACACCGTCAACGCCCAGACTACAAACCCTGCAGAATCAACCAAGGCTCGATTCAGGCGTAAGGCGAATGTTTTATTTCGTCTCATTTTAAGTCCCTTACCAATGGCGGGGCAAATAGCCAAGGCCGTGTGTTTGCATTCATCAAGATGTGAAACTGTCCCTTTAGTTGGTGTCATGGTGGCTAGGAGATGTTAACTACCTCACCTGGTATACAGGAGGTCGTGGGTTCGATCCCAACCCTGACGCCTGTTGTCTATTTGGAATTTGCACATCTCTCTCTCTCCCCGTGGTGGCGTGGAATTTGACTGCAATAAATTTCCACATGATCTTGGTTCTTTCGGTAAAGTCACGTAGAAGGGAAATAATAAAATAATATTTTTATTTTATTATGTTTTATTTTTTTATTCTTTTATTATTTTCCTTCTACGTGACTTTACCGAAAGAACCAAGAAGATGAATCCCTGCAGTCACGAAAGCTTTAAATCGAAATTTCCACATGATGATAAGCCACTTCGTTGAGCTATCATTTGTGCCAGTTCGCTTCTGGGAAAGAGCTGTGTAGTTCAGCGTGGCCTTCCCTGATAGTGCTAGATAAAAGTGTCGAGAGAGCAAGCGTTCGCTTGCTCACCTACGCCACTGCTGACGCAAGCACCTCCACTACACATGGAGCTCCAGAGAGCCCATCTGAAAGGTATATGGCCGACTCTGTTTTATAGTTGAAAATGTCTAATTACTCGCGCTCTCCCAAACCTGACGAGTCGGAATTGTCGGCGTCCGTTTGGCTCGGCTCGGGCAAAGGACCGAAGATTGTCGTCACGTCCTCTCCGAGCAACTCCTGGCAGTGGCAGATCAGGAACTCCACCAGCTCCACCACCTGGCCACACGGCACACGGAACACGCCCGGGTTGTGGTGGTGGCGGCGGCGGCAGCGGCGAGTAAAAACCGAAGGCACGAAACTGAAAAGTAGTCACTCGTTTTTGTGTGAAGCCACTTGACAAGGGGCTCCTCGATACAACGTGGAGCCACAGCCTTCGTAAGGCCTACGAAGACAAGCAGCGCGGTCGTGGATTCCACTCGTCTGGAGGGAACACGGGGGACGATGCGAGCACGCGGAGAGAGCTGTCGAAGTTGTCGTCGATGTCGTTCCAAGTCGCCGTCGTCGTCGTCGTTACCTGCAGCGTGTCGCTGCGCTGCTGCTGCTGCTGCTGCTGCTCCCCCCCGCGGCTCGGCCACAGCAGGCTGGGCGCGACGCACCGCGCCAGGTTCGCCGCCGTCATGTGATTGTGCCGTGACAGCGCCGCGACGTGGTGCAGCACGCAGAGCAGCGCTCGCAGCAGGAGGCGGTGGCACGGCGGCACGCGGCGCAGCAGCCTGCGCCGGGGGCGGTGAAGAGGGAGGGGGGGGGGGGGGGGTCGAACGCACCCCGGGTTGGTTTGCACGACAACGGTGGCGAATACTTGGCCGAAGACAGCGATGGATGAATAGGTTAATCTCAACGAATCGATCGTCGTACTACGGTCCCACGTGAACACATCCCCACCCCTCCACCCCCCCCCCCCTTCCTCCACCGCCACCAACCCCGATTCGGTCAGTGTACAGGCCACATTTCAGTTCAACGTGAACTAAAATAAAACTAAACGTAGCTAACCCTGCTAATTGGAGGAATAAAAGGTCAACGATTAAGGGTACTACGTCTGTCACAAAACTGTGAGGGGCTCCAAAACCCTCGAAACTAAACTAAAAACTAATTTTCATTTTACCAGGTAAGGCCCAATGAGCTATATAGCTCTTTTTCAGAAGCACCCTGGCAACAAACGAAGTGGCTTGTCGCGTGGATATTTATCGCAGCGAAATACTCTGAACGCATGTGGTTGATCCTAAATGTGGAGGGGGAAACCAGAGGTCCCGGAGAAAAAACCACGTGATCACAGGGAGAACGTGCAAACTCCAGTTATACAGGCGTCAGGGTCGGGATCGAACCCACGACCTCCTGCATACCAGGCGAGGAAGTTAACATCTGGCCACAGAGGCACCCCATTTCAGCCCTGCATTGCCTGCTCACGGCAACCCTGGCAGGGCAAGCCGAATAATGGGTCTGCAAAACGTATCAAACGGGTAGTGGGTGGCAAATTATCTGGAGTAGAAAAAAAAATAAAGGTATTTAATCTGTTCATGTTTTGTTTATAAAATGTATTGCGAGCCAGCAGATCGCAGCGATAGCAAACTGCCATTTCCGTAAACACGCCTTTAGATGTTGCTAGGAAATCATTTAGTAGGTCTCGGCACGATTAGACAATGCTTGGTCAATAAAACGACTACCGCTTCGTGGGTATACGGCAGTGGGTATGCCATACGGAGAGAGACTGGCCCTTGCCATAGTTATGTGGAATTTGCATTACTGCCTCAGAACAGATGTTGGAGATATACTCTGTCCATTTCTCATTTACGTGTGGAAATGCTTTGACATTGACACTTGGAATAATGGAGTTAGGGGTATACCAATTTTTAAAATTCCACTTTATTCGAATTACATTGCAATTACGCTCATCAGCATTACGTCATGAGATGCAACACATCCATTTGGAACAACTGCGGACAATATGGCCCGTTATGGAGATATGTCACATGGCAGTTAAACCAAACATTGTACATTACCTGATGTACAGTCATTGACCAGAATAAACACCTCATTCGAGACCCAAACATCGCACCTCCTGGCTTTGACATTGCTCCTCGAAGACACTGGTGGTGTAACCATCAACCCCCATCAGAACATCAAGAGGACTATGCGCGCATCTTCATGAATGGAAAATGAAAGTCAAACAATGGCAGTGGGAATGTGGCCATGCAACCCAAACTACGAACCATGTTGTAAACCCACTGCAGTCTGCGCTCCTTCAACGGAAGAATAGCAAAACTACAGGAACTCTCTCCTGAAGCCCCCTCGTCGAGGCCAGAAAACCTTGACATTGCCATTTAGCTCCTAAACATATTGCCATCATCCGTAGTAAATTGTCACCAGGCAAAGTCCATCAACCCGATACACTAAAAACCCGGTTAAACGACAGGTAGCTACCCGGATTCGAACCCGGGTTTCAGCAGTGCCATCCTCAGTGCTCTGAACCCCTTAGCCACTTGACCAGCGTTGTAATTATTTACCTTTGTACGCTGTTCAGTCTCTCCTGAGGGTGCTCCTCTGAAATGCCCTCGAGCCACCCGTGGTACAGCTCCGAGCAGAGGAGACTCCCGGGCAGATTTCGCAGGAAGTCCTGCGGCGTTCGCGCACACGACACACGACACAAGACACACGACACGGGGAACCAACGTCGAGTCAACACAGGGTGGACGTTCCGCCACGGACAGCATCTTCCTGTAGGAGGCAGTAGAGCAAGTACCTCGCGATCAATGCGCAGGTTTGGAGTGGCGTCATCGCCTCCTATGCGTGGCATTTCTCCAGGCACTCGCACAAGCAAAAATGAATGAATAAAAACCTGGTTCAAACATCCAAAGCATAACCCTCCTGAAACATTATATTGACCCTGAGTGTTATTAATTGTTTGCAATTTGTGGCCTTTCATCATCATTGTCGGCCACCATCTATGTTTATTTTACCAGGTAAGGCCCACTTGAGCTATATTACTTTTTTTCAGAAGGGACCTGGCCACAAATACAAGCTGAACGTAGTTGTTTATCATGTGGAAATTTATTTCAGCCAAAATACTCTGAACACACGTTTCAAAATGTGGAGGGAAAAACCGGAAAACCGAGAGAAAAATCCACACGACTACGGGGAGAAAATGCAACTTCAAATATACAGGCATCAGGGTCGGGATCGAACCCACGCCCCCCTACTTAACCCCTCCCTGGCTCATACCAGGCGAGGGAGTTAACATCTCGCCACTGCAGGTGGAAGCCCTCCCCAAGCCACTGCCATCTCTCACGATGCCAGGATGCAAAAATCTTCCGAGCTCCTGCACGCACGAGCTGATCTCATTGCTCCATCTCTGCGATGTTCCCTCATTTGGATGCAACTGTCGTCAGTCATCACCATCACTTGCCATCGTTCCAGCCCACAACGTGCCCAGTCATCACCATCACCTGACATCGTCACAGCCAACAACGTGCCCTGTCATCACCATCACCTGCCATCGTCACAGCCCACAACGTGCCCAGTCATCACCATCACCTGCCATCGTCACAGCCCACAACATGTCCTGTCATCACCATCACCTGACATCGTCACAGCCCACAACATGTCCTGTCATCACCATCACCTGACATCGTCACAGCCCACAACATGTCCTGTCATCACCATCACCTGACATCGTCACAGCCCACAACGTGCCCAGTCATCACCATCACCTGCCATCGTCACAGCCCACAACGTGCCCTGTCATCACCATCACCTGCCATCGTCACAGCCCACAACATGTCCTGTCATCACCATCACCTGCCATCGTCACAGCCCACAACGTGCCCAGTCATCACCATCACCTGCCATCGTCACAGCCCACAACATGTCCTGTCATCACCATCACCTGCCATCGTCACAGCCCACAACGTGCCCAGTCTTGACCATCACCTGCCATCGTCACAGCCCACAACATGTCCTGTCATCACCATCACCTGACATCGTCACAGCCCACAACATGTCCTGTCATCACCATCACCTGACATCGTCACAGCCCACAACATGTCCTGTCATCACCATCACCTGACATCGTCACAGCCCACAACGTGCCCAGTCATCACCATCACCTGCCATCGTCACAGCCCACAACGTGCCCTGTCATCACCATCACCTGCCATCGTCACAGCCCACAACATGTCCTGTCATCACCATCACCTGCCATCGTCACAGCCCACAACGTGCCCAGTCATCACCATCACCTGCCATCGTCACAGCCCACAACATGTCCTGTCATCACCATCACCTGCCATCGTCACAGCCCACAACGTGCCCAGTCTTGACCATCACCTGCCATCGTCACAGCCCACAACGTGCCCAGTCATCACCATCACCTGCCATCGTCCCAGCCCACAACGTGCCCTGTCATCACCATCACCTACCATCGTCCCAGCCCACAACGTGCCCTGTCATAACCATCACCTACCATCGTCCCAGCCCACAACATGTCCAGTCATCACCATCACCTGACATCGTCACAGCCCACAACATGTCCAGTCATCACCATCACCTGCCATCGTCCCAGCCCACAACGTGCCCTGCCCAAGCCGATGAATATTTTCTGAACGCTCAGCAAGATGTCACCGGTGTATCTTCTCCAATCCACGTGTCCCTCTTTCTGTCTCCCACACTTCATATGGCTGATATTTATCCAAAATGATTTCCACAATATCACCGCAATAAGCAGCCTACCTCTAGATGCGGTGACCAAATTGAATCAGCGGAGGTGTTTACAGGTGACGAGGCATAAAAATTCCGACATTCCCTCATGAATCAACGTCTGTTTACGCAGCTGTGCAATTATTAATCACAGAGCTAATTATTGCCAGGTGCCTAGGTTAACTATGCCTCCTGTGTAGTGAAGCCAAAAGCACCTGCTATGAATAAGGCTGCAGGGCTCAAGTGTAGATAATGAACGCAATGCCTCAATAATATTTAATTTTAAAAAATACGACATGCAAAAATATTCATTTCTAAACTAACCCCCGTTACCTGGAAGCAACTATAAAGGAACTACCATCAAATCTGCACTCTTTGTCAAAAACCTCAAAATATAAAATCTTGTACGGTATATTATATTATTTTCCATGTAAATTGTCTTTGTTTACGATATGAATGATAAGTTACGAAGTGTTACAGTATTACATGGTAAGTCTCGAAGGCTGGGAACGCATCCTCATAGTACTAATGCTATAATTGATTCTATTTACGACGTTTCATAATACGAACGAAGCTCTGGGAACGCATCTACTTTGTATACCGAGGTATTACAAGCAGTCCCCGCATTTCAAACGCCTAACTTACAAATATCCACACTTGCGAACGAGCTACCATGAGACATTTATTTTTAACCATCCGACTTGCGAACCGACCGGCGGAACTATTTGGTTCAGAAAAACGCGGCAATTGTTCAATATTTCTCCTCATTTATGAGTTGAACGATCCTTCCCTTTTGTCTGTTCAACCATAACACATTTTATGACACCGACCGTACGTGCATTTAAATACGGCACGTGATTTTGCTGCGACTAACGAACCGTTCCGACTTACGAATGGCTCTCGGGGGAACGGAACCCGTTCCTAAGTCGGAGGGGGGGGGGGGGACGACTGCCCGTAATTGCAAATTTAAGTTCATCGTCCTATCGGCCTCCTTCCAGGCCAGTATTTGCTTGGCTCTCTCCCAGTTACCGTGAAGACAGCCGCAGCGACGTGCGGCGTCTCTTGCGTCCAATCCACGTGCTCCCCCGAGGCCAGCCTCTCCCTCAGCGTCCGGCAGTGCCGCATGTTCGCCGACTTCCGGAAAATCCCCCGGGTGAAGGGGCCCTCCCGGAATATTGTCGACAGCAAGGCCTAAGTTTCGGGTGGGGGGGGGGGGGAGGGATTATTAAAGCCATCGTTAAAAGGGTCTCATGACGTGGCAGCGCTACGTAGGATAAGAAAAAACTAAACGTTCGATCAATTTAATTTCCATCTTCATTCATATTATCATCAGCCATGCTCTATCAACTGCTGGTTGTAGGCCTCCCCATGCAGTAGCCGTCTCTCACAGTACTTCAATGCCACTCTCCATCTAGCTGCGGCACACAGACCGGTGTCGTTGCGATTGACCGTGTCCGTAGATGACAAGAAAACCCATCGCAACGCAATTATGATGGGGTTTTTTGTCATGCACACATGTAGTTTTGGTTGGCATTAGCCAAGCTATGGACCCAAGTCTGTAGAAGTGGGGACTGCAACATATATGGTTCCCAGAGGCAGACTTTGCATCAGCGAGCGCTGGTGACGGAACTGATGAGTCCTAATAATGACGAAACCACCTGTAAGTCGGTCACATTTGCTCAGTGTTCTTCGAGGGTGACCTCAGACAAAGAAGAACCACAATGCAGTTCTTTATAAACTTCCGATGCTCTTTGCAGAATGCACAAAGGACAAGTGCTATTCTGTACACGTTTCTACGTGTCATCGCTTTGTTGTAGAACGTCACACGGTCAAATTAAACCACTTTTTTCCTTCAATGCTTGGCGAAACAGTACGAGGGTCAGGGTTATGGGCAAAGGGCCACCAGTCTTAACAAATAACCCCATCATGTTTCCACCTGAAATGTAACGTGTATTTCATGTATAGTCTGGTGTGTTTTCTCGTTGTTGTCGTGTATCTCGGAGAGGTACCTCCCAAATGTTTCGCAAAAAAATGTTTGTACTCGGCTTTTGCTTTACTCGTATTTATCTTGAGTCCCCACTTTGGTTCATTTGCTTACAACAGATGAAATCTGTCCGGGTTACATTCCCATCTCTTTATTTTAAAATCGAATCCGAGAGAGAAGTTTATCACTCCCGTGGACAAGGCCACGTCCTTTCCACGGCAGTGATGAATGTACCCGAGTTGTATCCCTGTTGCTACGGCAGCTTCGCATTTCTTTTTTTAAAAGATGCTATTTTTTTTAACGGCAGTTAATTGCGAATCTTGTCCGTAAAAAAATATAAACAAACGGACGAGGGCATTATTATTATTATTGGTGAGCTTTGCAGTAAAGTGGAGAGCGTTTCGTCTTGGGATTGTTCGTGAACCTATGTGAGGTGTCCTCGGGAGGACGGACAAGTGGATTGGATAGACAAAACATTCCCGAAAATAGCGATAGCTGGCCAGTGGGATGCCTTCAGTGTCATTTTTTTTTAATTGCAAACAAAATCTTAATTTCATCTTTTTTGACAATTTTTCCCAACTCTATTAAACAAGCGCGTGCGTTCATGGCATTGGTTAAACTGAAACGTAGACTGTACCATGATGGATCTGGGGGGCGCCCCATCCGGGCACAGCAGGGACAAGGGAACCCCGAAGACGCCGCCGGCGGAGGGGGTGGCGGGGGAGAGGGGCGAGAGGGGGGCGTCCGAGTCGGAGCGCGAGGAGCTCCGTCGCAGCGTCCACGACATCAGCGACCGCTTCCTCCTCAGCTTGCCGCCACTCGAGTCTGCGCGCACCCAGGAGCCACGCCGCACACACGCAGGCCGCCACCGCACCTCCGTTTAGCGCGGTTGGGCTACGTAGGGCGTGCAAGGGGTTACAAGTACGTACGAGGCCCATAGGGGCAGCCCTGCACTGCTGGCGGAAAGGCCTAGACGAGACGAAGCTCCAGAGAGCCCTCTCCCCCGTCTGTCGAGGGAATTTTGGCCTCCTCTGGCATGTCGGAACGGGTGTCAGTGCCCATGGTAATCGTCGCTGGTGTTGGCCGTGAGCGGGAATAGAACTCGGGTTGCAGGGTTCGTAGTGCAACGCGCTAATCTCTGCGCCACCGCAAATACAAAGATCGCCCCGTATAGCCTTAACCACCTGCTGAGGCCGCCCTCACCGGTGAGGCAAGTGCTGTTAGCGAGCACCTACGAAGGCTGGCACGGCACACGAGGGAGTGGGTGGCCAACATCACGCCCGGCCGCCCTTGCCTCACCGGTGGCGATGTCCACAGGTACTCAATCGAGGCCGAGTCGACCAACGCCGAGTCGACACGCACGCACGCACGCACGCACGCGACCGGTCGCACGTTCCCCTCACCGACGGCCTCGTCTCGAACGGAGGTCGCGGCTGGCGGCGGCGGCGGCGGCTGCGACGGCCGCCGCTGCGTGGCCCGGAGCACGAAGTGGCAGCGGAGGTCGGGGGGCAGGCTCTCGTCCGGGAAGCGAGCGTCCACGGGGAAGGAGCTGCCGCCCACGCGGACGTCCGAACCCAGGCACTGGACGGCGTCGCGGACGTGCCGCATGCGCACGCTGTACGGCTGCTCGTGCCCTGGCGGGGCACAGCAAGGGGTGGGGGTGGGGGGGGGGGGGGAAGGTGCACGCGGAAACGCGTTTAGGGGAACTGGAGGTCTGCGGGCGTTGTGTCTACTCAACAAACGCGACCGCGCGGAGCAGCAGTTCCCAGCCTCGTGCGCAGACCGCCTCTTCAACCTCCAAAAATATTGCGGACCACCGCGTCCAACTGGTTGTTCGAAGTTGTACATTTCCTTGGTGAGGATGATAGGACAGTGTTTGTCTTCTTTTCCGTGGGCACCCCCCTGCCCCGGTAGTAGCCCCGCGGACCATCAGGGGCCAACTAGGGGCCCACTAGGGGCCCACCAGGGGACCACCAGGGGACCACCAGGGGCCCACTAGGGGTCCACCAGGGGCCCACCAGAGGCCCACTAGGGGTCCACTAGGGCTCCGTGGAACCACAGTTTGGCAGCCACTGGCATCGAGGTTTTCGCTACGGCACGGTTTTCCCAATGGCATTTTACCGATCGGGCCCCTGCGTCGCTCGGTGCGCCGTCCCGACGTTTCGCTTCCACCCCACCCTGCAAGGCTTTTCAATTCGGTTCCGAAAGAAGCCGCCAGCACTTGGGAGCGAAATGGTCAGACGTCAATGGCGAACAATGACGTGCAAAAACGGCACAACCTGAAAAAACACCCAGATATAATAGTTGGAGGCACTGCGGTAGCGAAGATGTTAACTACCTCGCCTGCTATACAGGAGGTCATGTGTTCGATCCCGACCCTGACGCCTGCTGTATATTTTGAGTTTGGACGTTCTCCCCGTGGCTGCATGGATTGTTCTCTCCTGGTCCTCCGTTTTTTTTGCCCCCACCTTTAGAATCAAGTATTTGGCCGCTATAAATTGCCACGTGATAGGCCACTTGGTAGAGCCATCACTTGTGGCCAGGTTGTTTCTGTAAAAAGAGCTATGTAGCTTAGTGGGCCTTACTGAATAAAAAAATAAAATTTGTATGAATTCCTGCAGTCACAAAAAGCTTCAAATTAAGATTGAAAATTGGTAAGTTTAGAGGGTCTTGGAGCCTCTGAGTTTTGTGTTGTAACAGATGATGTATCCTTAATCATATCACACTTGCCCTTTATTTATTTTCCGTCTGTGCGTCTACTTGTCACGTGCCCCCTTTGGCTTTTATCTTCCCCATCCCTTCCCCCCACTGCCCCCCCCCCCGCCTCCACAATTTATTGGTCGTTTAAAAATATATATAACATACTCCGATACGACTAGCAAGCGTGCGTTGTTTTTGAAAAGCAAAGCAGAGAAAAAAGAGGAACAATAAGCGAGAGCACACATCCCACCCCCACCGCCCCGGGCCGGCCGGGTCTCTCCACGGCCCCCACCAGGGTGTCGTCGTCGTCGCAGTCATCGCCGCGCTATCATCATCCGTGGCCAGGTCGCTTCTGGACATATATATATGTGTGTGGCTCAGTGGGCCTTAGCTGGTTAAAAAAAAAATATATTATCCAGTAATTTAGCACAGTTGGCTACGTACGGCGCGAAAGAAGTCCAACGTACAAATGTGCGATCGAATGCGGACGGAGGTTGCGGTGGCTCTTGGTGGCTTGCGCGCAGCACGTTACACCATCGCCCATGCTGCCCAACTTTAGTTACATCGACTAAATTTTACACGCGCATCGCTCCTGCCACTCTGTTGCAGCAGCTTGGAATGTTTCTGTCTTCTTTTTTTTCGAAGCGATAAAACGTTAGATTAATTCTAAATATAAACCGTTGCAAGAGAGGTGGTTCAGTGTCTACAGGGAAGAGAGAATGAATACGGAATTGAAAAATTACTGCAAGATCAACAACACAAAACACATCCTCTCCGTGCCTGAGAGCGGGAGTGCAGTTATAGTGCAGTGTTGGGAAAGAGAGAATACACAAACGCATCATTTATTCAGAAACACTCCACGGGGTTCTAATGTATCCAGCACATCTTATAATGGGATTCAAGGCTCTCTTTCTGAGGGACACTGCGTTGGGATGTTGGGCTGAACTCTGAATGAGAATTCAGCGCATGCCAGAGAGTGAAAGCCACTTTTTCATTAGTTTGTATAACAGTCCAGTGGCACAGAGGCTATCACGAAGGCACAATGTTTGACAGATGGACATAGTCTGCCAGTAGGGGCGCCGCAGTGATGAGATTGTTACTACCTTGCCCGGTATACAGGAGGTGGTGGGTTCAATCCCGACCCTGACGCCTGTATATTTGGCTTTTCCATGTTCTCCCCGTTGTCACGTGGATTTTCTCCGAATCCTCCGGATTTTCCCTCCACATTTATAACAATGCGTTTTGAGTATTTGGCTGCAAGGCATCTCCACGTGATGAGCCACTTTGTTGAGCTTTTATTTGTGGCCAGGTCGCTTCTGAAAAAGAGCTGTATAGCTCAGTTGGCCTTACCTGGTAAAATAAAAATCGTATTAAAATAGTTTAGTTTATAGGTTGTCACGTGGCTTTTACCCAATTAGGTGATTAGTGGGTAATTTGCAAATTTGGCAAATATGGAGGGTGAAGCTGGCACGCAGCGGCCTCGTCTTTTCCGAATAACGTCACGGGATTCCCTCACATTCACTGTGAAGCAGAACGAGTGTTTTTTGGTTCGTGCACCCGGCAGTATTTACCGGGGCAGCCCATGGGCTCGAACCAAGAACCCCCCCCCACCGTCCCTGCAACAAGTGGCGGTGGCGTCCCCACCTGCTGCCTTGCAGGGCGAGCCACGGCACCAGGGGTAAACACTCAAAAACGCTGATAACAACATTGTCAACAAGTTAGATTTATATGAATTTACGTACTAAAGTGTTTCACAAACATGATAAAAAATAGAAAAACTAAATTTTTAGATTTTTTTTCTTCCAAATTGTCTTTTTAACAGAAACACAATTTGACTACAATGTCATCTTGGAAATACCCAACTGCTTTGCACAGCAGCTGTGGCATAATTTCACACAGAGGTTGCTAATAAATATTGCCACTAGCGCTCAGCCGACATTATCAAGACGTCACCCTCCTACGATTATCTAGGACAAATAAGTAGAGTTTAACCTTGAATGATCCTTGTAGACAAACTGCAAATAGAGTAAAACAACGCAATTATGTCATACTGTCCGATATTTTAAACAGGTGCTATAAATAGAAAAGAACAACCGTTACCTATGAGTGGATAAGGCGTCCCCTCTTTGCCAGAGTAAACCCACAGCTTGAAGTCACTGGATTGGCCCTGAAAAAAATATCCACACACGTCAGCATGTTCCATCACACCCAGGCCCCAGCAGACGCGAGAGCTCAATTACCATCCTAATTGTGCCATTCGTAATGAAATTGCAATTACGACATGAGGGCAATATTAGATAATCCAGCGGCTGTAATAGAAAGTATAGTTGACTCCAGGTCGGCAGACCTGGTTTAACTAGAACAGTGGCCAGTTGCATTAAATATCTGAAGTGACATAGGCCCTCAGTTCGCAATGCAAGTCATGTGAGGTAAGGAGAAATTGCATTTAAGGAACTTCATGGACCTGGCCACAGTTACACATGCCAACATTACGTGAGGAAGCCACTGGAGCTATGCACTTTTAAATCTAGATTGAAAACTAATTTATTTAGAAGTGCTTGTTGTGCTAAGTTTGTTGTCCTTCCCCCGCACCTCCGATTAGCACGGTTGGCTAGGTACGGTGCGAAAGAAGTTCAACGTACACACATACATAGCTACTGGCACACATTTGCGTAAACCACCACAAGGAAGGTGTCCTATCGAGTGCCACTTCAAGGTACGGATCTCACTGGCTGGGGACCGAATTATAGTCGGTTATGTGACATTGTTAGAAATGTGAACATCTCTGGAAAATTTACATTGACAACCGTGCGCAGATCCTGCACTGGGCGTGGGTAGTTAATTGGTCGGGGAGGACATGTGATAGTCAGGCACGTGACGTTTTAGTGAAATACAAAGACCGAGGAGAAAGCAATCAACTTGGGTGTTTTATGCAACTGACAATCAGTGTCTGCAGGCTCTGGCACATCGGGCACTGTGACTCAACATCACGCCCCTGTACAGCCCTTCTGTCAATCCACTGCCGGATAAGTGCATCCCAGACGATGTGCGGATCGGAGCGGTTATTCGACTATACTTCACCACTCGGGGTCAGTGCGAGTTGGCGAAGGCGGGGAGCACAGAAGTATGGTGCAACAACGGATGTTTCTGCACTACCCTCTCCTGCGCACCGCATAATCCCACAGCAGCCTACAACAACCCTATATACAAAGTGGTCGCCCTTTTAAAGCGCTATCCAGGCTCAAACCGGCTTAGCTTCCTAAATCTAACGAAATTGTGGGTGCATTCCAAGCGATTTGGCCAAATCGTAACAATTATTATAATAATTTACGTTTGAAAAGTGGCGCATTTCATTCACAGATCCCAATGCGCTGTGCATGGAAAGCAGAAAATAAACAGAACCTGCAGGGTTCACGGTCAGAACTAGGGGGTAAAGGCCAGTTGAAAGGGGTGAGTTTTCAAGACGGGACTTAAATATAGCCCATCGTACCATGGCGTTCGTCTGCCCATTCCAAGTGCGTACAGCGTGCGTGTCGCTCACCGTGATCGAGAACTGCTTGAGGGCCATGGCGATCACCTCCTGTGCTGTATCCGTGTTGCCAACGCACAGGGTCTTAGCCTGCGGACAACGGAGGACGATGATCACAAGGTTTCAGGTTTCAAGTTGATTTCGTTCAACCAGGTAAGAACTCGAGAGACCAGGATGAGTCTCACAAGAGTGACCTGGGTTACAAATAGGACAAAAGCAACAACATAAACACAAGTCCTGCGCAACAACGAAGTGAAAAGAAATACAGAAACCAAGTAAATGTACGGTTTAAAAATGCACATTCAGAAATCCTGTTCTCGTACAGCTTTTTTTTTCTACCTACAATGACTTTACCGAAAGAACCAAAGAGTATGGATTTCTGCAGTCACGAAAGCTTCAAATCAAGATTTTATCGTACAGCTGTTTGCATGTTTGTCTGTCCGTCCAGCTTCAGGGTATATCTAAAGGCCTATACACTTGTATGGGGGCGCCATGGTGGTGAGAGGTTAACTACCTCGCCTGGTATGCAGGAGGTCGTGGGTTCGATCCCGACCCTGACGCCTGCTGCTGTATATTTGGAGTTTGCAAGCCTCTCTCCCCGTGGTTGTGTAGATTTTTATCCACATTTATAAACGCGCGTTCAGAGTATTTGGCTGCTGCTTTACATTTCCAGGTGATGCTGAGCCACTTCGTTGAGCTATCACTTCTGACCAGGTCTCTTCTGACAAAGAGCTATGTAGCTAAGTGGGCCTCACCTGGTAAAATAACAAATAGTTTAGTATTATTTCAAGAGGCATCGGCCCCTACTTAACACGTGGTCATCATGCCGTGCCTCACATTCACACCCTCTTTAATGACGGCGTAAATGGACCATGCGGGGCGGGAGCGAGGAGTTTCCCGTTTTGTCCAGATGGAGGACCGTCAACAGCCAAACACCACGGACAAAATCCAATGATAAAGCGGCAGCCGAATTAGGGTCAAGGGGACAACCTTCGAGCAGGAATGAAAACAAGCAGAGCGCATATGGGCAGGGAGTGTGAGGGTTGGCACGCGCTCAGCGCTAAACACTGCTTTAAACTAAATCATGTTAATGTTATTTACCAGGTAAAGCCCAATGAGCGATACAGCTCTTTTTTAGAAGCGACCTGGCCACAAATGACAGCTCAACTAAGTGGCTTATCACGTGGACATTTATATCAGCCAAATGCTCTAAACGCTTGTTTCTAAATGTGGAAGGAAAAACCGGAGGACCTGGAGAACAATCCACGTGACCATAGGGAGAACATGCAAACTCCAAATATACAAGCATCGTGGTCGGGATTGAACCTACAACCTCCTGCATACCAGGCAAGGGAGTTAACATCTCGCCGCTGCAGCAACCTAGTGTGGCCTCCATCTATCAGCGGGTAGAGAATGGCTGTCGATGATGAGGATGGCAATCTGTATGCTGCATGGGTCTGTCGGTTAACAGTACATAAATACAAATAGTACTTTAACCAGAAAAAAACTGGGTCTGAAGACTTTTTCAGGGAGTTTCTGCTATTGGATGTTTGGCGCATTCTGTATTAGCGATTATAATTTAAGTCTAGATTTGAAGTTTTCGTGACTGCAAGGATCCATACTCTTTGGTTCTTTTGGTAAAGTCACGTAGCTAAAAATTAAATAAAAATGAAAACAAAAACAACTACATTAAATCACGACGTTTCGGAGGCAACACAAGCTTTTTACACCTGATGAAGGAAGCTTGTGTTGCCTCCGAAACGTCGTGATTTAATTTAGTTGTTTTCATTTTTGTTTAATTACATTTTATTATTTTTTACCTACGTGACTTTACCGAAAGAACCAAAGATTATAATTTACTGCCCCTTCGTCAATCCGCTGCTGTATGAAGACCTCCCAATGTCGTATCGGTAATCGCATCTTGTTAGGCCATGCTTTCGAGGTTTGTTTGACCATACTTCACCATGCTGGTCAGCGCAGGTTGATAAAGGGGGAACCCCAGGATCATTGTCAGCCATGCACGCAACTCAAGACTGCCGGGGTTCATAGAGCAGTGTGCGAACCGCTGTGCCTCTACTCTCCCCCGCTGCGCCTCTCCCCCCCCCAATATGAAATTGTTCTTCATCCAGGAAGGCCTCAAAGGCTGCCAAGTCTCTTCTTCACGAGATGTCCGTCCAATGCCTCATCACAGTAACACCACAAGTCTCTTCTTCACGAGATATCTGTCCAATGCTTCATCACAGTAACACCACAAGTCTCTTCTTCACGAGATGTCCGTCCAATGCCTCATCACAGTAACACCACAAGTCTCTTCTTCACGAGATGTCCGTCCAATGCCTCATCACAGTAACACCACAAGTCTCTTCTTCACGAGATGTCCGTCCAATGCCTCATCACAGTAACACCACAAGTCTCTTCTTCACGAGATGTCCGTCCAATGCCTCATCACAGTAACACCACAAGTCTCTTCTTCACGAGATGTCCGTCCAATGCCTCATCACAGTAACACCACAAGTCTCTTCGTCACGAGATGTCCGTCCAATGCCTCATTACAGTAACACCACAAGTCTCTTCTTCACGAGATGTCCGTCCAATGCCTCATCACAGTAACACCACAAGTCTCTTCTTCACGAGATGTCCGTCCAATGCTTCATCACAGTAACACCACAAGTCTCTTCTTCACGAGATGTCCGTCCAATGCCTCATCACAGTAACACCACAAGTCTCTTCTTCACGAGATATCTGTCCAATGCTTCATCACAGTAACACTACAAGTCTCTTCTTCACGAGATGTCCGTCCAATGCCTCATCACAGTAACACCACAAGTCTCTTCTTCACGAGATATCTGTCCAATGCTTCATCACAGTAACACCACAAGTCTCTTCTTCACGAGATGTCCGTCCAATGCCTCATCACAGTAACACCACAAGTCTCTTCTTCACGAGATGTCCGTCCAATGCCTCATCACAGTAACACCACAAGTCTCTTCTTCACGAGATATCTGTCCAATGCCTCATCACAGTAACACCACAAGTCTCTTCTTCACGAGATGTCCGTCCAATGCCTCATCACAGTAACACCACAAGTCTCTTCTTCACGAGATATCTGTCCAATGCCTCATCACAGTAACACCACAAGTCTCTTCTTCACGAGATATCTGTCCAATGCCTCATCACAGTAACACCACAAGTCTCTTCTTCACGAGATATCTGTCCAATGCTTCATCACAGTAACACTACAAGTCTCTTCTTCACGAGATGTCCGTCCAATGCCTCATCACAGTAACACTACAATTTGGATTGACCAAGCATCAAAAATGCAACTGTGCCACCTCGAGTATATTTTGAGAATAGTGCGAAACTCGAGTTCCAGAAAAACACCCACACGTGCGTAAGTGCGTAAGTAAGGTAACATTCCATTCTCATGACGGGGAATCAAAAGCTCCCCGTTACGATGACAGGTCGGCCACCGACGGCTTTGCACCGCCTCCTGCAGGCATCTCGCCGCCTACTTGCGGGTCGGCGTGTCTCGTGGGCGACTCCACGCGACCCGCGCCGGCAGCCATGGGGCCGAAGGTTTTGCAAACGAACGCGACGAACGCCAACAAAGAGGGAAACGGAGGGAAGGCGAATTTTGACGCGAGTCATGCGTGCATTCGCCCGCGGCTCATTCCCCCCTTTGTGGCCGGCAGGAAGTGGGTTCCGGCTCCGCGGTGTTTTTAACGGCGGACTTGAACGACTCGCCCTCGCGGCCATGCCCACGGCCACAATAGGGCAAGGGGGGGAGCGGTGGCAGGGAAACGAGATTTAGGACGAGCCGCCCCCTGCCGCCACTGCCAGCCCACGCCGAGCCGGCGCGGTGTTATCGCGCGAGGGTGTTTACGCAGACCGTGGGGCAATGGCAGCCTTCGAGTACTAACGCACCGTAAAAGTCATTGGTAGGGGACGTGGGGGGTGGGGATAAAGAAACGACTGAAATAAACCTGGCGATCTACCGACAACTGTAATTTAACATTGGCAAGGGAAATGCTAAAGTTAATTCTTACAGTGAGGGAAACAAGTATTTGATCCCCTACTGATTTTGAACGTTTGCCCACTGACAAAGAAATGATCAGTCTATAGTTTTAATGGCAGGTTTATTTGAACAGTGAGAGACAGAATAACAACAAAATCCAGAAAAACGCATGTCAAAAAGTGTTATAAATTGATTTGCATTTTAATGAGGGAAATAAGTATTTGACCCCCTCTCAATCAGAAATTTTTTTGGCTCCCAGGTGTCTTTTATACAGGTAACGAGCTGAGATTAGGAGCACACTCTTAAAGGGAGTGCTCCTAATCTCAGCTTGTTACCTGTATAAAAGACACCTGTCCATAGAAGCAATCAATCAATCAGATTCCAAACTCTCCACCATGGCCAAGACCAAAGAGCTCTCCAAGGATGTCAGGGACAATATTGTAGACCTCCACAAGGCTGGAATGGGCTACAAGACCATTGCCAAGCAGCTTGGTGAGAAGGTGACAACAGTTGGTGCGATTATTCGCAAATGGAAGAAACACAAAAGAACTGTCAATCTTCCTCGGCCTGGGGCTCCATGCAAGATCTCACCTCGTGGAGTTGCAATGATCATGAGAACGGTGAGGAATCAGCCCAGAACTACACGGGAGAATATTGTCAATGATCTCAAGGCAGCTGAGACCACAGTCACCAAGAAAACAATTGGTAACACACTACGCCGTGAAGGACTGAAATCCTGCAGCGCCCGCAAGGTCCCCTGCTCAAGAAAGCACATATACATGCCCGTCTGAAGTTTGCCAATGAACATCTGAATGATTCAGAGGACAACTGGGTGAAAGTATTGTGGTCAGATGAGACCAAAATGGAGCTCTTTGGCATCAACTCGCCGTGTTTGGAGGAGGAGGAATGCTGCCTATGACCCCAAGAGCACCATCCCCACCATCAAACATGGAGGTGGAAACATTATACTTTGGAGGTGTTTTTCTGCTAAGGGGACAGGACAACTTCACCGCATCAAAGGGACGATGGACGGGGCCATGTACTGTCAAATCTTGGGTGAGAACCTCCTTCCCTCAGCCAGGGCATTGAAAATGGGTCGTGGGTGGGTATTCCAGCATGACAATGACCCAAAACACACGGCCAAGGCAACAAAGGAGTGGCTCAAGAAGAAGCACATTAAGGTCCTGTAGTGGCCTAGCCAGTCTCCAGACCTTAATCCCATAGAAAATCTGTGGAGGGAGCTGAAGGTTCGAGTTGCCAAACGTCAGCCTCGAAACCTTAATGACTTGGAGAAGATCTGCAAAGAGGAGTGGGACAAAATCCCTCCTGAGATGTGTGCAAACCTGGTGGCCAACTACAATAAACGTCTGACCTCTGTGATTGCCAACAAGGGTTTTGCCACCAAGTACTAGGTCATGTTTTGCAGAGGGGGTCAAATACTTATTTCCCTCATTAAAATGCAAATCAATTTATAACATTTTTGACATGCGTTTTTCTGGATTTTGTTGTTGTTATTCTGTCTCTCACTGTTCAAATAAACCTACCATTAAAATGATAGACTGATCATTTCTTTGTCAGTGGGCAAAAGTTCAAAATCAGCAGGGGATCAAATACTTTTTTCCCTCACTGTAAATGTACAATCCAGCCCAAAGAAAATGGGTGCTATATTTACAGCTTACCTTTCTCATATCTTCAAGCCAGAATGGAAAATATTTTCGTGTTTGTCAAGAGACATTGCGATTGTCAACACCGACTGTACCTCTGGCTGGCTAAGCTTGCCCTGTGGCTCTCATCGAGCTGGCATGAATGCCGTGAGGCGCCTGGAGACTCCTGAACGCCGGCCAGCAGTCGTTAAAAATGTAACATCTGCAATGGAAGTGGCAGCCACGTGCCTCAGATGGCTAATCTGCTGCGTGAGAACACCGCGCCAGCAAAGCTGGAAAACCTGGATTGGCATTCGGAGTGGAATCCGGATTTCTACTCCCCATGAACAAGCCAGGTTATTGAGTCGGAATCTTTTCCATGAGGTTCTTGGTTCTATAAACTTTCCCCGTAGACTCGACTCCCCCCCCCCTCCGCCCCTGCCATAGGAATGTGGGATTTCCACCACTGGGCTCAGGGCTGTAAACAGGAGATGAGCAACGCCTGAATTCTCATTAGGGCAGGAAATCACTTTTTAACGTTTATACGCTAAACACCACAATGGAGGGATGGTCACATGGACACAAAGATGACCCTGATGATTCGTAGATGGAGGAGGATGATGCCATTATGATCATGATGATCGGTAAAGACGACGAGCTGATGATGGTCTCAGCCCGGTCACCAAGAACGGCACAAAAAACGGTTCAAGCCAAAACCGTAGTCTTTGACTTCACTCGACGAAAAATGTTTCAAGTTTCATCCCCGTGCGACGGATGTCCCAATAGTAGAAGCAATTGTGAAAAATTCGGAAGTATTTCTGTGACATCACCTTTCAGAGACCGTACTTCCCACGTGGGTTGGCAGATGCGCTGCTTTCTGCCAGAGTTCCAAATGACAAGGTGCCAACAGAGCTGATGTGGATTATTTTTTTCCCTTTTAATATTTCTCCACAGCCATTGTTATGCCACCGCTGGATAAAAGGTCTCCCCATGCACTGTTGGTCATGGGGGTTGTTTGAACATACTTCACCACTCTGGTCAGTACAGGTTGGTTAAATGTTGGGCGGGGGGGGGGCACCCAGGACTGGTTCAGACATCACTCGCCACTTGTGTTAGCCACGGACGGGAATTGAACTCGGGTCGTCGGGTTCATAGCGCAGTGCAATTACCACTGCACCACCACTCCCCAAACAACTTTGTAAATGTGGTAAAAGACAAAAACAACTATTCAAAGCACTAAGACTGGATTGCAAGCCTGTGCCATCATATTTGTACGTAGGCGATGACATCGTTTGGAGGAATAACAACATTTTACGCAACACGTGTTGACATCCAACCAAGCAAGAGCTTCAGGAGGTACAGTGAGGGAAACAAGTATTTGATCCCCTGCTGATTTTGTACGTTTGCCCACTGACAAAGAAATGATCAGTCTATAATTTTAATGGTAGGTTTATTTGAACAGTGAGAGAGAATAACAACAACAAAATCCAGAAAAACGCATGTCAAAAATGTTATAAATTGATTTGCATTTTAATGAGAGAAATAAGTATTTGACCCCTCTGCAAAACATGACTGAGTACTTGGTGGCAAAACCCTTGTTGGCAATCACAGAGGTCAGACGTTTCTTGTAGTTGGTCACCAGGTTTGCACACATCTCAGGAGGGATTGTGTCCCACTCCTCTTTGCAGATCTTCTCCAAGTCATTAAGGCTTCGAGGCTGACGTTTGGCAACTCGAACCTTCAGCTCCCTCCACAGATTTTCTACGAGATTAAGGTCTGGAGACTGGCTAGGCCACTCCAGGACCTTAATGTGCTTCTTCTTGAGTCACTCCTTTGTTGCCTTGGCCGTGTGTTTTGGGTCATTGTCATGCTGGAATACCCATCCACGACCCATTTTCAATGCCCTGGCTGAGGGAAGGAGGTTCTCACCCAAGATTTGACGGTACATGGCCCTGTCCATCGTCCCTTTGATGCGGTGAAGTTGTCCTGTCCCCTTAGCAGAAAATCACCCCCAACGCATGTTTCCACCTCCATGTTTGACGGTGGGGATAGTGTTCTTGGGGTCATAGGCAGCATTCCTCCTCCTCCAAACACGGCGAGTTGAGTTGATGCCAAAGAGCTCCATTTTGGTCTCATCTGACCGCAACACTTTCACCCAGTTGTCCTCTGAATCATTCAGATGTTCACTGGCAAACTTCAGACGGGCATGTATATGTGCTTTCTTGAGCAGGGGACCTTGCGGGCGCTGCAGGATTTCAGTCCTTTACAGCGTAGTGTGTTACCAATTGTTTTCTTGGTGACTGTGGTCTCAGCTGCCTTGGGATCATTGACAATATCCTCCCGTGTAGTTCTGGGCTGATTCCTCACCGTTTTCATGATCATTGCAACTCCATGAGGTGAGAGCTTGCATGGAGCCCCAGGCCGAGGGAGATTGACAGTTCTTTTGTGTTTCTTCCATTTGCGAATAATCGCACCAACTGTTGTCACCTTCTCACCAAGCTGCTTGGCAATGGTCTTGTAGCCCATTCCAGCCTTGTGTAGGTCTACAATCTTGTCCCTGACATCCTTGGAGAGCTCTTTGGTCTTGGCCATGGTGGAGAGTTTGGAATCTGATTGATTGATTGCTTCTGTGGACAGGTGTCTTTTATGCAGGTAACAAGCTGAGATTAGGAGCACTCCCTTTAAGAGTGTGCTCCTAATCTCAGCTCGTTACCTGTATAAAAGACACCTAGGAGCCAGAAATCTTTCTGATTGAGAGGGGGTCAAATACTTATTTCCCTCATTAAAATTTAAATCAATTTATAACATTTTTGACATGCGTTTTTCTGGATTTACCATTAAAATTATAGACTGATCATTTCTTTGTCCGTGGGCAAACGTACAACATCAGCAGGGGATCAAATGCTTTTTTCCCTCACTGTGCAGAGTGAGCGAACGTCACCGACGTTTCTGGGGAATGAGCGACAGTGCGGAGTTGCTCACTCGATGTTCCACTGTGCGAAGTTGTTCGCCGCATCAACCGCAACTACCGTGGAGTGCCCTTGAGCCTCCAGGGGCACCGCAGTGGCGAGATGTTAACTATCTCGCCTGGTATGCAGGAGGTCGTGGGTTTGATTCCCAACCCTGACGCCTTTATATTTGGAGTTTGCATATTCTGCTTGTGGTCGCGTGGATTAATATCCGGGTCCTCCGTTTTTGTTCCCTCCACGTTTAGAATCAACATGCGTTTAGAGCGTTTGGCTTCTGTCAATTTCCACATGATGGTAACCCATCATTTGTGGCCAGGTCGCTTCTGAAAAAGAGCTATAACAGCTCAACGGGGCCTTCGCTGGTAAAATACAAAATCTTTTAGTGTAAGTTTAGTTTATATGTGCACAAGCTATCTGTAATCTTTCCGTATATGCAGGTCGCAACCTGCTATGCGAAACCAGGAAGTCTTCGAGCTCGATGGAGTCCCCAGGTACCCGGGCAGCGCGTGTCCAGCGAAGCAAAGGCAGCAGCAGCAGCCATCACACGTTGTGCCACGCGATCGCGGACAGAGACGCTGGGCGACTCACAAAAGCCGGCGTCGGGATGTCCTGCACCAGTATCTTCAGCGGGATGGATTTCGGCTCCTCTTTGGCTTTCTCCACTTCAATTCTCCTGCGGGCAACAAATGAGCACGTTTTGCATGCGAGCACACGTGGGTTGGATGTGTAAAATACCTGGGCCACTTTCATTCAGCTATCACTGGTGGTCAGGTCGCTTCTGAAAAAGGGGCTCTATAGCTCGGTCAGCCTTACCTGGTAAAAGAAAAATAGTAGTGGATAGAAATGTAGAGGGTGCAGGTGTGCGCTTGCTCGCCTCCGCCAATGCTGGCGGAAGCACTTCCCCTCGACAGAGATTCAGAGAGCTCCTCTGAAGGGTATATGGCCGACTCCGAAACGCTAGCCGGACGTCTTGTAAGAGCAGTTGATAAGTGTGTGTGTGCGCGTGTGCATATATGTGTTGTGGGGAGTGGTGGGCAGGGTCCCATCGGTGAGCTCCTCCGGCAGGCAAGGCTGCGATGGCTGGGTCATGTAGCCCGCATGCCCAGCCACCGCATGCCGAAACAGCTTTTGTTTGGCCGGATTGAGGGGGCTAAGCGGGCGCGGCACGGGCTAGAGAAGAGATGGAGTGATGTGGTACAGGAGGACGTGGAGCTGAGTGGACTTTCCGATGACTGGTACCAGCGGTGTCAAGATCGGCCTCTGTGGAGGAGGCTCGTGAAGGATGCTACTGGGCAGTTGGAGGCAGTCGCCCTCCAACAACAACGGAGGGCGGAGGAGCGACGCTCAGAACAACGAGCGGAGCGCCGGGTGGCTAAAGCACAGCAGGTTGGCACAGTAGGGGGCACAGGTGGTGCATCAGCCAGTCATCTCAGTCAGTCGACCCGTGGCACCTGGGTCTGCCCCGTGACCTCCTGCCAGCGGGCGTTCGACACTTCACGTGGCCTCAGGGTGCACATAGCCTGGCACAAGCGTTGTGGTGACGTCACCGCCACTTAGTGGCGAATGGCGGTTGTTGTTGTTGTGGGGAGTGGTGGCGTAGCGATTAGTGCACGGTTGCTAACAGCCCGAGTTCGATTCCAGGCCACAGCTAAAGTCAGCGGCGGCTACCTGAACCGGTCAGGGGCCTTCTCAAGGTCAACTCAGCCTTAAATGAGTACCTCGTAGATATAATCGATAACAACACTTGCCCCAACAGTCTGGAGAGGTAGAGGGGGAAACTTTGGTCTTCTTCTCACAGAGCTGGCGCAAGTCGTTATGATGATTGGCATGCTGCGCTATGGTCCCGGCGATCAAGAGTTCCATCTCTAGCCACACGCATCAGCGACCACCATCGATTAACATCCTGGACCTCTCTCGATGTCAATTCAGACTTAAATGAGTACTGTGGTGAATTGGATATCAGTGCTGACCGGGCCATCCCATCGTGTTTGTTTAACGTCTTTCGCACTGTCTATAGCGAAACCGTGCTAATCGGCGGTGCGAGTACCACCACCTCCAGGGGTGGGTGGTGTGGTCCTAACAGCGGGCTTCCCGAACACCACTCAGCCCCTCCAGTCTCATACGGATATATGGGAGGGTCATTGTTTTTTCATATACAGTAAATGTATAGGGGGATATTAGATAACGTTAGTCTGGGCAAACAGGATACCGACGGCAAAAGGCCAACGTGAGATTTTTTTTTTAACCCACATTTACAAAAATAAAAACTCCAAATACCCAACAAGCAAGTTGTAAAATAAAAAATAAAAACAAACCTAACGATCGTTATAAATTGTACGCATCTAAAGTGTTTCAGCGGATAAAAATTTAAGTTGGCCAAATCGGAGCAAACGCACGCTTGGTTTGAAACTAACACCAGACGGCGATAAGCCACGCGACGCACGCGAGTCGGCTCAAATTCTCGCGGCCATAACTCACGCCGGCGAGCTAACGAGCTCCCCAATCAGCGGGGTCACGGCTACCTCACCGCGCAGCTACGGCGCGGAGAAGAGAGGCGGCGAACGCACCGTCGCGGCGGGCGTTGTGCTTCTTTGGGTCCGCGATCGCGGCAGTGGCAACGCGTTCGCGAGTTCGGAGAAACGGGGCAGCCGAGTACACAGCTGGCAGCGTGAAGAGGGGGGGGGGGTGGTGCACGGGTCAGAGGTAAAGGTGACACGGCTTAGTGGTGCGGTCGGCCAGACGACAATCTATCGCGCGCGTGCGGTGGCTATCACGTGCGCAGCCTTGGGCTTCTGGCGGACGAGCGAGTCTTGCAAGAGCTTCACGCAAGGAAGCGTGCGGACGAAGTTCTGGGTTGCTCCCCTTGTCGATGGGGGGGGGGGCGGGGGGGTATGGGGCACGAACGGTGAGAGCTGCCGTACCTGTTGAGCTCGGCGAACCATATGTCTCTGTCCTCTTCAGACCTATCGGGTAGGGGACACAGAGGAGCATGCATCATCACCGTCGTCATCCTCATCATCATCGTCGTCATAAATTACAGCCCTTTATCAATCTGCTGCTGCTGCTGCTGTTGCAAGAAAACCTCCCCGTACTGTGTTCAGTCACGGGGGTCATGTGACGATACGTCATCATGTTAATCAGTGCGGGTTGGTTAGGGTGCGGGCCCCAGAACCGGTTCAGATAACACTCACCACTGATGTTCGCCGTGGCAGGGAATCAAACTCAGTTTGCCTGGCTCAGAGTCAGTTAAGTCATGCGCTTAGTACACGGACGAAGAGAATGACTAAATTTAAAGCGCAGACTTGGCTAAAAATCAATAGGTTGTCCTCCACTAGACTCAGGCTAAAACTAGAATACAAATAAAATGTTGACTGAATCAGCATTGGCAACATATCTTTTCCCAAGGGCAAAAGCGCTGTGCAATGGTATGAACCACAATTTCCTACGCCAAAATGCTTCAATACCTGTGAAAACAGCTGATTAATGTCCGGTTTCTGTGTCTCAGCCGAAGCGTTGAAAGCTCCCACATCATCACTTCCGCCGGAAAAAAAAAAAAACACGTGTTCGTGATACTGAGTGGAGATGACATTTGTCTGCGAATGTTCTTGTGAACAAAAATCCTTGGTGAATTTACACATGCAGCCACGAGCACTGATGCAAATATGCACAGGAACGTACAAACTTACTGGAGTATTCATAAATAGGTGATAGGTGAAACAAGACCATTCGCATGCATCAGCAATAAACATGTGCCAGAAGGTAAACATGCCCGCGCACATACGTATATACATACACGCATAGTTTCATAGTTTTCATAGTTTCATTTATTTGGTATAGCCCTGTGAGCCATTTGGCTCTTGAATCGGGTGCAACCGCAACAAACAAAAAAAACAAAAACATGAACAAGAAGACATACACACACTGAAACATATAAGAAACCTCTGCTTAGGCAAATCATGAGAAACCTTTGTTTAGGGACATATCCTGGATTCCCTGTTTGTTAAAATGTTACGGAATCACTGTAATATGAAAGGTGGAGCGATGCAGCAATGTCTGTCTCATGTCGCTGCTGACAAAAAGTGATCTACTCGAGAGAGGGAGGCAGCTCTCGAGAACCGCTCTGGAGGGTATTTGTGGCCTACTCTTCCACGCAGGGTCACACATCATGAAGGTGGTGGACAGTCCCCACGCTTTACCCCACCACATGCGCGACCTACCGATCCGACTCGCTGTGGCGAATGCGTTTATTACTATTAAAAGACTAAACTAAAGTGACATGGCCATCACAAATGATAGCTCAACAAAGTGGCTTATCACGTGGACATTCTTAGCAGCCAAATTATCTAAACGCGTGATCATAAAACCGGAGGACCCGGAAAAAATCCACGCGACCGCGGTGAGAGAGACATCGCAATCTCCAAATGTACAGCAGGCGTCAGGGTCTGGATCGGGATCGAACCCACGACCTCCTGCATACCAGCCGAGGGAGTTAACATCTCCTATCCACCGTGACACCCTACTGCTCTTTCAACTGCCGCGACAGAAAATCGAACAAACAACATCTCGAGTGCAAGTCCAGAGCACTAACCACCGCACCACGTCAGCATGCACAACAGGAGTAATTAATGAAACCTCTAAAACATAAATAACCGCTATGCTTCTTTTGGACTGGCCCCGGGGAATGGAATTCAACCTTATGCAGAGATTGATTCGCTTCGATTGATTTAATTTATGAACATTGCTTCATCATCACCAACAACAACAAAAAACACATCGCCTGCGATTGCATAACGCTCGCGTTCAAATTTCCCAGTGCCTGTATTATTGTTAATAACGATTTATTATTATTATTAACGATGACTGAATTGGTTGCCAGGGTGGCCAGGATGTGTGTTTGGCGCTGACGCGGCACATTGCGTGCCTCACTCCGAGCCTGGTTCGCTTCATTCCACAAACTGTTCCCACGGGCCACGGAATCCTTCCGCCCATTGGAATTGCAATTCAGACCGACAGCACCGTCATGATGAGAGCGTGAGAGAGAAAAGGAGAGAGAGAGAAAGAGAGAAAGAGAGAGCGAATGCGAGAGAGGGTGAGAGAGAGAGTGTGCCATGGCCCCAACTTGCAATCTCGTTCTCAAGGGAAATTCAGGCAGCTGCAGAAACCTGTCCTGTTGAACCCTGAAGCCCTTTTTCTGCTGCTACCCCCCCCCCCGCCCCACCTCTTGCCTCGCACCCCCCCCCTCCCCCCCCTTCCCAGGGGGACTTTTTTTTAGTCCCGCCTTTATCGCAGGAAACCAGACAGTCGCAACGCCGCTGGATCCGTGGACGCTGCGGAATGCCGGAGCCCGGCGATGTTGCTCTTGGAGTCGGTTCACTTTCTCTTCCTATTATGGAGACGGCGGTGGCGATGGAGGTGGGGGGGGGGGGGCACAATTTGTTCCATGAGCTCTCATCAAAAATAACAAAAAAAAAGTCAGCTGCTGCTGTTTACTTAGGAAGCCCCATTTCACATCCACGTTGCTAAAGTAGCGCCGCTTTTGGAGGGGAAGAGAAAAAAAGCGATACAGGAGGAGGAGGATTTCGCAAAAACATCGTTTGGGGTGGGCAGCAGCAGCTGACACACGCGGTGTTTGCGCGTTGCCCATCGGGGGCCCTAAGGCAGAGATTATTTTGGGGGGGGCTAGCCCCCCCCCCCCCCCCCCCCCCCGCCCAGCCCCACTCCCCTTAAAAATCATAAAATCTTAGTGAGAAGACAGAAGCGCTCTCGGCAAGAGGTTGAGATGACGTGCGGTGAGAGAAATGTAGGCAAAAGCGGAGATGAGGCGAGGTGAGAGGAAAATAGACGCGGGCAAGATTAGAGATGAGGGAGATTCGTTTTCTTTTCAAGTTGATTGCCTGGTATGGGACAAACGTATTTGTGACAATGCATTGGCAGTGGCGCATAACACCAAAAAAAAATCACAACTCAGCACATGCGCTAACAACTGAAAGTGACAAAAGTACATATACCACACATATATAAATTGGGCAAAATGGCCAATAACATTTTTCTGCTGGGGTGGGGGGGGGGTCAATGCCAGAAGTGCCATCTATTATATGTTTAGTATTCCCTTTAAAAGCAGCACTATCGATGCATGCGTTGAGGACGTTGATTCGAATGTTTGAATACGACCCTGCCATTTAATTCACCCACGATATATTTTCGTGAGCCCGCAGCCTCTCGAGCTGCTTTAACTCGGTCAGCGCCGCCACTGCCGCCACACTTCTCTCGCTCCCTCACCCCCAGCGCTGCCCATCTCCGCAACTTCATCTTCTTTACAGGTGAACACTTCAATTCCCCCGGGGGCTCTGTTTACAGGCCCGCCGGATATTTCTCTATTTCTCTTTGACGTGCGTTTGTTTTTTGCGACAGCCCAATCCACCCCGCCTCGCTTCATTTGGATCAGATTTCGGTAAAGTTTTGACGTCACAAGCCGCAGACTCTCGGACCCTGAGAAGGTCCTGAGAAATAAATAAATTAAAAACCCACACGGCCGATAATCTTCCGCAGACATTCTGATTGTGACCTAGAAAGCAACACTGTTTACTCAAATTTGGATTAAAAAAATTCGTGACTGCATGGATTCATCTACTTGATTCTTTTCGGTAAAGTCACGTAGAAGGGAAATAATAAAATAATAAAGATAAAACATAATAAAATACAATTATCACGACGTTTCGGCCACAACACAAGCTGAGGCCATCCACATATACAAACACAGAGACAATTTCAACCGAGAATATGGATTATGGCTTAGTAATCATTGGAAGGACGTGATAAACCATTTCGGTTCTTCATTGATTGTGTTTTACGGTGACTTTCAGACCGCAGTCCATTCGCTGGCACTGCCTCTTAGTACCTTTCACGCGACGGTCAATGATATGGTTTATAGCATATTGTATAATAATAAATAGTATAACAGTGTAATGTTTAATATAATTTATAAGGCAATATATAGTATCGTAATTGTATAGTGAATATACAGCAGTGTGGTATACAGTACAGTTGGTAGAATAATACATAATGTAATTTTACAAGTCTAATATTATTATAGTCTAAAGTATAGGGTAGTGTATAGTAACGCATGGTATAATTCAATGGTGGGTTTGTCTATGGCAGTATATAGTACGGTGTATAGTCGTGTAATGTAGAAAAAAGTTTAGTTGGAGGCATATCAATATAATGCATAATGTTAGAGCTTATATTAGGCTGTGTATACGATATTATACAGTGTAGTTTAGATTGGAAGGTATAATATTGTAATGTATAGTAGTCCAGTTTATAGCATAGTTGTAATGCAGCACAGGGCAGAGTAGCGCACCGTGGCTGTTTCTCTCTCTCCCCCCTCCTCCGTCCCGAGCATAGATGGACTCGTCCGTCTGAACGACGCTCGCCGCTTTCCGTGGTGCTATCGTTGAAAAGAAACCGCTACTTTTTTCGACATAGAATTGTAATGTATAGTGACTTATTGCTAGTAGGTCAGCTGATTGGATAGTATATTGAGTTAATTGATAATATTGATGTATATTCTTAGTTTTTTCGGTAAAGTCACGTTGAAGAGAAACAACAAAATAACAAAATATATATAAAACAATAAAAAATTCTCACGACGTTTCGACCATAACTCAAACGGTCATCATCAGGTTTGAGTTATGGTCGAAACGTCGTGAGAATTTTTTATTGTTTTATATATATTTTGTTATTTTGTTGTTTCTCTTCAACGTGACTTTACCGAAAAAACTAAGAATATGAATTACTGCAGTCACGAAAGCTTTAAATCAAAATTTAATATTGATGTAGTTTATATTTTAGTTTTTTATCAGTTTACTATATGGTATTCATTATATAGTGTAGTGTATACCCAGTTACTTAATGTTAATAGCTCAACTTATTGTAGAATATATTGAGTACATTGATTATATTG